TTTATTGATGAGCAGAACCAACAACAGCATGCAGTTCTGGGACAGCTGACAAAATGGAGTTAGAGTGGGTGGGTTTTTATACCTTCTTTGGGTTTTGTATTTGAGATGCCTTTCCTGTGCAAGGTACTTTGACCTGTGCATGAGCATGCCCTTTTGGTATTCTAATTATTGCTGCCCGACTTCTATTGTGGCTGGGAAGTCATTTCCTGTCCTTGGAGCTGGGTGGGGAAATGTAAATTCTTAATCTCATCAGCTGTGGGGGCTGAAGGCATTTTGCTTATGAATAGTGTGCCTTAGTTTTTCTGAATGGATTACTAAATCTCCATTTCTAAAAACTTCAAGCTCTTCAGGTTTCCTCCAGCAGGAAGACTGGGGCAGCTTTCTGTCTTTGTTAAGATTTTTTCTCCTTTAGGGGAAACATTCTATCCTGCCTCATTTTAATTTTCCCGAAAATATTTCATTCTCTGGAGGGGGGAAGTACTGACTTTCTACAAGTCCCCAGTTTTGTGCTAATTTAAATATTTTCTGAAATATTTGTATTTTGCACAATTTTAGGTCCTATCTGAGTAGACTTGGTATCTGTTGTCTTTTTGGCTCATCATTAAAGGGGTGTCTGTTGAGATGGGAAGTGATTTTGCAGGCTACTGGGACAAGGGAAAATACAGTGGTTGAGGAAGCAGAGAATCAATCCTATGATGGTTATCACTGTGGCTCCCAAAAGAAGAGCTTCCAGCCAGTGAAGGTAGAAAGAAAAATTATTTGATCCAATATTTTGTGCCTATTCTTTTAGATGTTTGATGTCACTTTCTGTGAGCTTTCACTCAGGTCTGAAGCAAGCACATGCCCCAAAATTCTTCACAGTCACGGTTTTGCCATAGTAAATAATTACTGGCTACCCATTTTCAAGAGTTGCTTCCTAAACCTGCCTTAGCTCTTAATTTAGTGCATGCAGAGTTTATGATGTAAAATTGAGATTAGCCAGTGTGCAAGCCAAGCTATTAATATTTCTTAAATTGCACAGAGTGAGCCCGAGACTCCAACTAATGAGACCACCAATGCAACATATTCTGCCTTACTGGGCAGTATCATTTATGAGTCACAATCAGGGCTTGGGGTTTGGAGATCTTTTTTCTGCTACCTCCTCAGTGTGGGCATGCCCCCCCCAATGGAATTTGGAATTTGCAGGAAGGTATGCATGCATAGGCCTTAGTGCAAAGGAGCAAGTGCTGACCTTGGAGAGCTTTACACAGAGGTAGGTGAAGCCTTAGTGTGGTTCTGGTGTGTGTGTGTGTGTGAGTGAGTGTGTGTGTGTGTGTGTTTGTGTGTGTGTAGTTCTACAAGGCAGGTAATACAAACATCCTTCACATATCTCCCTCCCACTAAACAGAAGTCCAAGGTGTTCAGACTTCCTCTGCCAAACACTCCCAAATGCCATCGCTCCATGAATCCATTCAACTGGCTAATTGCAACATAAATGAGGCAAAAAAGAAAACCTTACAATAAGTTTTTACCTTCCCCCCATAGTTTTTCCAGTTGTCTTCTGAGGCTTTACGTGGGGCCAATGGATCCATAAGTCCTTCTTTTCTCTTCAGCTTTCACAGGCATCTGGGTGATATAGGACCTGGGAAAATCTGTTCCGCTCTGGTTGCAGAGTGACTTTCTAGTGAATGGCTAGATCCATACCCAATTCCCTGGCTCAAATGAATGGAGGGTCTCCTCTGGAGGCAGCGTCTAGGTCATGTGTTCGTCTTCCAAAGGTTGTGGAGTCATCTGTGCAGGGCTGAATGATATTAGAACAGGGTCCCTCCCCCTTTGTGGATGACCATCCCAGAAGAGGCATTGTTGGTCTGACATAGGAATGGAGAACAGAGAATAAGAGATGGGATGTAGAGTGGGATGGGTAGCTTGCAGGCAGAGTTTAAAAAGACATTCATACTGCAGTTGTTAAAGAAATAGATGAGACCAGTCACAACAAAATGGGAACACCACAGATGAGGAAAAAGAGAAGCTGGATTCTGGTAATAAGGCAAAAGATGTCTATTGATGAAAAAACAAGAAAAGAGGAAGGATGTAACATCTGAAATTGAACAAATGCAATATAAATTTTGTAAAGCACATGTTAAACAGTACTTGTTAAATGAGTACTTAATCCTAATAGTTTAATGTGTACAAATTGCCAGAGGCAGGAGAGTCTACCTTTGACATTTGTTTTGAAATTTTTAAACATCCTGATGGCATTTGCCTGGCATTATCAATACACAATTTAGATGAAAAGACTACGTTATTTTAGAAATTGAAAAAAAAATGCTTATATGTTCCAGGTTTAGTTCCATAGTAATTTTACTGACTACTGAAATGATAAGAAAAGTAACTTAAGAAAAAAGTTATTTCCCTGCAGGCCCAAATTTGAGCTCATGAGGCTCCTGTGGGTGGACGTACCTCATGTTTCAGGAGAAGGATAGACAGTAAAACCCATTTACAACACTTACAGAAAATGCAAATAAACATTTTCCTCTGAATGAGCTTAAAACATTCCCTCCTGACAACGTTGGGCTGTTGTTAAAGGTACAGAGGGGAGGAATAAGGGAACTCATTTCTCTTCACCCTATTTTGCTGGCCAGGCAAACTAATGTGAAGGTATTTCCTTTAGTGGCTTATTTTAACATTTTTTCCTAGCAGAATTGAAAATTCTTTTCTCTAGAGGTTAGAGACATTTAACAGTTACATGTACCTAACAGATACACATATACATAAAAAGACAAGGGAAAGAAAAGGGAAGGAAAACAGAACTCTCACGTTTACACATCCTGGTCATTCCTATCATAAATCTCAGTTAACTCAAATTAGGGAAGGCAAAAATCTTAACAAACATAATAAGTGGTTGCATAGAAAAGAAAGAGAGAGGTAAAAAATCAGTGTTTCTAAGTCTCTTTATGAACATCTGCCCTGTTTGAGATTTTCAAACCAAAAAGGAGTCTGGGAGGACCTCTGCTCTCCTCAGCAGTAGTACGGGCACCTCCTACTGAATGGACCTGCTCAGTGACTTCCCAGCTGGTTGCCCAGGTCCAATTCTCTCACTCACTTTTCTGTTCCATTTTCACACAACCTCTACCTTTTCCCTAACAAAAGATCCTATGCTCTGGCCAAACCCCCTTGCTTTCCAGGATCTGTCAGTTAAACAGATCTTTTTGTGGCTAGGAAAGACATAGAGGGAGAAGGATCCAGCTGTGATTGGGAGAAGGTTCCTTTTGTTCACACAGACAGGCATACAGACATTTCCCTCATTCCCCTGGGCTTTAAAAGTTAAAATTTAGAGGTACGCATCTTCTTTCCAAACAGGTTAAGCTCAAAACTTCCTTTACTACTCTTGCTCCAAATGGGCAGGGTCTGAGAAACCTATCCACAGACACAATGGATCTGCTGCCAGCAAGGTGGAGGCTTACCCAAGCCTAGTCCATTGGTCAAGTTAGCTTGGAGTCCCATCTGGGGTGCCAGATTGTTGGACAAAAAAGGCAGGTCCAGTTCCAAGCTGGGAATAAAATGGAGGTTGCTTAAGAAAGAAGATTTCTGTTTATTGATGAGTAGAACCAGCAACAACATGCAGTTTTGGGACAGCTGACAAAATGGAGTTGAGAGGGGGTTGGTTTTTATATGTTCTTTGGACTTTGTATTTGAGATGCATATCTTAAAGACAGAAAGCTGCCCCAGTCTTCCTGCTGCAGGAAACCTGAAGAGCTTGAAGTTTTTAGAAATGGAGATTTGGTAATCCATTCAGAAAAACTGAGGTACGCTATTCATAAGCAAAGTGCCTTCAGCCCCCACAGCTGATGAGATTAAGAATTTAGATTTCCTTACCTAGCTCCAAGGACAGGAAATGACTTCCCAGACACAATAGGAGTCAGGCAACAATAATTAGAATACCAAAAGGGCATGCTCACGCACAGGTCAAAGTACATTGCACAGGAACAGGCATCTCAAATACAAAGCCCAAAGAAGGTATAAAAACCCACCTATTCTCAACTCCATTTTGTCAGCTGTCCCAGAACTGCATGCTGTTACTGGTTCTACTCGTCAATAAACAGAAACCTTTTTTAAGCAGCCTCCATTTTATTCCCACCTTGGAATTGAAATTCAACACCAGGAAACATAATTATTTCAGTGTTTTCCAAAGAACATATAATCCAGTGAGCTGCAAGATACTATTTTGAGTTGTTGATCAAAAGAATATAATTAAGCATGACCTCAGTTTTAAATTAGAGCAAAACCCTGCATGATACAGGATTAATTTCCTGATTGTATCTATTTTATGAAAAAAGCTAATTAAAAATGACTCTATAAAGATGTTTAAGTGGCTGATATTAATATTTTGAAATCTTGTTTCTAAATTATTAGTGCTTTTCCTATTTGTTTTCAAAATCTTGTCTCATGTAGTTGTCTTTCATTTTCATATCTCTATGAAAAATATTTGTTCTGCAGCACTGTGTTGATATTAGCTTAATGCTTTTATAAATCCTGAAAAGAGATTCCAAAAGACCAAAAATTCCAAATAAGAAAGGTTTTTTTCCTCTCTCTCAAGAGTATTAATAGGATCTGGAAAGAGAATAATTATTTCTAATGCAGCAATATTTATCAGTAGTTTATTGTCAGCTTCTTTAAAGCTTTTATTTATAAATATATTTATTAACATTTCTCTTCACAGACAAAGTGGGAGCAGGGAATTTCATTTTCTCTTGTTGGCAAACTTTTGAAGCCATTATTCCTCTATCAGAATTCAACATTTAATAATGGGAGTCAATTTACCTTTTAAATAACAAGGGCTCCAAGATGTCTATGGAAATTCTGTCATCTAAGTCATGATTGCCCCAAAGGTGCTTTTCTAAGAGGCAACTGGACTTCTTTGTTTTTCCTTGAAGACATTTCGCTTCTCATCCAAGATTTATGTTTATTCTTCTCAGATTCTACCAGACAATTTTAATGATATTTATTTTTATTCTTCTCAGATTCTACCAGACAACTTTAATGATAGTAAACAAAAAAAGAAAGGACTAGTGAAAAAAATTCAGGTAAGTTCCATAATAAAGTTAGAGTGTTTTACATGTAAAACAGAGATTAGAAAATCAGAAACTGTAAATGGTTAAGAGTGCGTTGGGAGTGTTGTAACTTCGGACTTGCAAGATACGGTTAATGTAGCTTTAAAATAGATTTAGCTAAAATGTGTGGGATATGGCTAAAGCATATTTCAGAGGGTTGGTTGTAACTTATATTGCTAAAAAGAATAAAGAAAAGAAACAAAACAATTAAAGTTGAAGGAAGAATTCGGAAAGTTAGAATCAGAATTACAAATAGACCCACAAAAGAAAATACTTAAGAATCAAATGGGGATAATAAAACATAAATTAATTCTAGCCGAAATGGAAATAATGGCTCAACAGATTAAAGGGGCTAAACAGAACTTCTTTGAAAATGCCAACAAGCCGCGGAGATGGTTAGCATATAGACTGAAAAAAGAAAAAGAGAAAAAAATGATAAACAAGCTGCAAGATCCAAAAGGTGAATTACAGTTTCAAAATGATACAATTAAAAAAAATTATTAAAGATTATTTTGAGATACTTTATAAGGCAGAGGAAATTCCAAAAGAAAAAATACAGCAGTATTTTAAAAAAGCAAACTTAACAAAAATGTCAGAGAATATTCGAAACATATTAAATGGAAAAATATCAGTGATGGAGATTATAGAGGCTACAAAAAGGCAAAAAAAATTGATAAGACTCCTGACCCAGATGGATTACCTGCAGAGTTTTATAAATCATTACAAGATGTATTAAGTCCGATCCTGAAATAATTGTGTAATGAAATACTCCTGGAGGCTAAAATACCAAATACATGGACTGAAGCCAATATTACTTTAATACCCAAAGAAGACTCTGATTTAATGCAAATAAAAAATTACAGACCAATATCACTATTAAATGTAGATTATAAAATCTTCACCTCAATAATGGCAGAAAGACTAAAGAAAATTTTGATTGAATTTATACATATAGACCAAAATGGTTTTCTACCTAAAAGACAGGTAAAAAATAATTTAAGAATGATTCTTGATGTGTTAGAGTACTATGAAGTTCATTCAGGGAAATAGATGGCTTTAATATTCCTTGATGCACAGAAAGCATTTGACAATGTAAACTGGCAATTTATGTTCCAGCAATTTGCAGAAATGGGCTTTGGAAAAAACTTTATAAATGTAATCAAACCAATTTATTGTAAACACACAGCCAAAATAATTGTAAATGGAGATTATACAGAAAACTTCAACATTAAAAAGGGCACAATACAGGGATGCCCACTATCTCCATTACTATTTATACAAACATTGGAAGCACCGAATAGAAATATTAGACAAGATATAGAAATTAAAGGACTGGAGATAAAAGATGAAAAATATAAACTACAAGCATTTTGCAGATGATTTGGTTTTCATATTGGAAGATCCATTGGAAACAAGCACTAACCTTATGGAGAAAATAGAAAAATTTGGAGAAGTGGCAGGGTTGACAATAAACAGAGAAAAGACTAAAGTGCTGACAAAGAATATAACAGAAAACAAAAAAATCAACTAACAAAAAAACAAATCTTCAAATAGTTAAAAAAGTTAAATATTTGGGAATTTATCTAACAGCAAGATGTGTAACAATAAAAGAAGATAACTATATAAGACTGCTAAAACAAATAAAAATTGGATTTGGAAAAGTGGAAAAACTTCCAACTTTCAATGTTGGGGAGAATAGCAACAGTGAAAATGAGTATCTTACCAAAAATACTCTTTTTATTTCAAACGATTCTTGTAAGATTGGGAAAAGCCTTTTTGATGAACTGAATACAACAATATTGAAATTTATCTGACAAGGGGGGGAAAAGCTAGAATTAGATTGAAAATGCTACAAGAAGCGAAAGAAAGTGGAGGATTTGGACTGCCGGACTGGAATTTATACTACTAAGCAATTATTCTAACATGGCTTAAAGAATGGATAATGCTTAGAGACAAAAGACTATTGTATCTAGAGGGGCATGACCTACAAATTGGTTAGCATGCCTTTCTGTGGTATGGGAAGAATAAAATACATAGATACTTTCAAAACCATTTTATAAGGAATGCACTTCTTTCGGATTGGGAAAAAATAAAAGAAAAAATTTATATTAAGATACCTGGATGGCTTTCAACAATGGAAGCTTTTGCTTACCCAAATTTAATTAACTACGATAAAGTTGTGACTTATAAAGATATTTTGGACAATGAAGGAAAATTGAAAGACAGACAAGATTTACAAGAACAAGGTATTGATTTAGCATGGTGGCCATATCTGCAAATTCAAACAAGATATGAAAAAGATGCTAAAACAACAGGATTTTATAAAGAACAGACAAAATTTGATCAGATACTGTTAAAAACAGACAAAAAGTTGATTAAGAAACTATAGATTTCTGTTAAACTTAAAGATGGAGGAAGAACAAATAAAAGAAATAATGATAATATGGGCAAAGAACTTTGGATATAATATAGAATTAGAAGACTGGCAAAAGTTATGGGAAAGAAATGTTAAATTAAATAAAGCAGTGGCATATAAAGAAAACTTATATAAAATATTTTACAGATGGCATATGACACCAGTGAGATTAGCAAAAATATTTAAAAATACTTCAAACAACTGTTGGAAATGCAAACAAAGACCAGGTACTTATTATCATATCTGGTGGACATGCCCTAAAGCAAAAAGATTTTGGGTTAAAATACATTTATGGTTGGAGAAAATGACTAAAAAACAAATAGACATTAAGCCAGAATTATTTTTGTTAGGAATAATAGGAGCAAATTATGAGAAAGATTGCATATATTTAATACTACATGTACTAATGGCAGCAAGAATTGTATTTGTCCAACATTGGAAAAATGAAAATTTACCAGCTGAAGAAGTACTAATTAAGAAAATTTTAGAGTGTGCAAAAATGGATAGATTGACTAAAAATAAAGAGAAAGTTTTGCATGTAAAGCAGAAATTAGAAAATCAGAAATTGCAAATGGTTAAAAGTGGTGTTGGGAGCATTGTAACTTCGGACTTGTAAGATATGGTTAATGTAGCTTTAAAATAGATTTAGCTCATCAAGTCTTGTTTCCTATCTGGTATGTTCAGGAGGCTGACAGAACTCCAGCATAGAACCCTTTTTCGCTTATATAACAAGACTATGGGGTTAAATAAGAGACAGTTCATTTCCACCCAAGCCTTCACAGCCACAAGTTTACTGAGTCAGCATTGAAATAGCATCACATCCTTGGCCAAAGGTGGAGTTGTATCAATCAATCAATCAAAATGTATTTATAGTCCAAACCAAAGACAATAAAAGACCAGCAAATAATACACTGATTAAGTAAGTAGAGTGTACTAATAATACTGCATCCAATGCTATCAAATAACGTCCCTTGTGGCAATCCACACTGTAGGGACTAGGTCTAGACCTGTCTTCATCCACTAACACCAAATGGAAACAGTTACAGAGAAAAGAGAAGAAAACAGTTCCTGAAGCCTGTCCAGCAAGTTCTTATCTTCATTATTTCATGAGAGTTAAATACACATTTATATTTAAAGAATAAAAGTTGAACACATAATTTAATACTTCCAAATTTTTGCATTAGAATAGCTAAATGTCATTGATTACATAGATCTTTTTACTACTACTTATATATTCTTATATAATAATACATAAGAACTGTATACCTTTCTGTGTGTAAGCTTGTTTGTTTATGCATTTGTTCCAGAAACCATCTTCAAAAAAGATTATGATAAAAAAATAATTAAATTAATAATTATCCATTAAAATTAATCTCTAAACTAAAGTACTAAAGTACCATTCTTTCATAAACCAAAACACAGACCTGTATAATTCCATCTTTCTTTCCAGAAAAAATAGCAAAAAAAAAAAAGGATGTAAATAGGGTAAATAAATAACAGAATAACAGAGTTGGAAGGGACCTTGGGAATCTTCTAGTCCAGACCCCTGTTCAAGCAGGAGACCCTATACCATTCCAGACCAGCGGCTGTCCGGTCTCTTGAAAGCCTCCAGTGATGGAGCCCCCTTCCACTGGTTAATTGTTCTCACTATTTGGAAATTTCTCCTTAGTTCTAGATTGCTTCGCTCCTTGATTGGTTGATTGGTTTTTTTCTCTTGCCTTCTGGTGCTTTAAAAAAATAGATTGACCTTCTCTTCTTTGTGGCAGCCCCTTAAATATTGGAACACTGCTACCATATCACCCCTGGTCCTTCTTTTCACTAGACTGCATACCCAATTCCTGCAGCTGTTTTTCATATGTTTTACCCTCAGACTCCTAATCATCTTTGTTTCTCTTTTCTGCATTCTGTTCAGAGTCTCAACATCTTTTTTATAATATGGTGACCAAAACCATATTCTAAGTGCAGTCTTATTAAGGCTTTATAAAGTGGTACTAATACCGTATTTTCCGACGTATAAGACGACTTTCTAAACCCTGAAAATCTTCTCAAAAGTCGGGGGTCGTCTTATACGCCGGAATATACAGGTAGTTGTTCTCTGAATTTAAAACCAATCTGTCCCCTAGAGGCCAGCCCTATTTTTTTTTACAGAAATAAGCACTAACGGGACAAAGCATACAAAAATCCCATTTTTCTACATCGCCCATCACTTTATTCTTTTTCAGGAAAAGCAATTAAATAGTAGAAAACAGTAAGCTATATAAATTAAGGATATTACATCTACAAAAAAAGAAACATTCGATTTACTTCTTATACCTATAGCAGCAGACATGAATATATGGAAAAACTTTTTGATTCAGCAAATCACATTAATTAAGAAAGATACTGGTCAAAGGAAAAAGTTCAAAGTGAAAATTAAGTAAATAGATGATGGGATCTACCAGAGAAATATTTTAAAAAGAAACATTTGTTTGAATATGGTTAAAGAAACAAAAGATTCTGAATACATATGTCATTCTAAGAGAGATGAATTCCTTAAATAATACTGTATGCTTCCCCCCCTTTTATTTTATTTCTTGATATAAGTAATATAATACTGCTGAAATGGCCTAGATGAAGGAAATGTTTTAGATAATTAAATGTGTCTGAATTTAGGGAAATTATAATGTATAAAAAAGAAAAAAATGTTTTGAATAAGACCTAAAGGATTAGATGACTAGGCACATTAAATGGAATATTTAAAGATTAAATATATTTTATCAAAATAATAAGAACTATATTATTTCAAGGTTTGCAAAGAAGACATTTTGGGGGAAAGGGGAAATCAACTAAATGTACTATGTGGATTATAGATTATAGAAACCAATTGTTAATGATTTTTCTTTGCAAATGTAAACCCAGGAAACACACCAACTATTAAGTGATTTATGTTTTAAAAAATTAATAAAATATATGGGGAAAAAATACCAGCTGAGTTCAGGAAGCATTAGGGAAGCAGTGGTGGGCAACACCCGCTTTCTAGCAGCAAAGGAATGGAGCTCCTATTGTGCTCATCTATAAACAGAAATTCAATATTGCACCATATTTTCCGGCGTATAAGACGACTTTCTAAACCCTGAAAATCTTCTCAAAAATTGGGGGTCGTCTTATATGCCCAGTCATCTTATACGCCGTAATATACGGTACTTCACATGATGATTTTACTCCTCTGTTAATGCAACCTAGGATTGTATTGGCTTTTTTGGTGGCTGCTGCATACTGCTGGCTTGTATTTAAATGATTTTCCCTAGGACTTCAGCCTCTCACAGTTACTGCTATTGAGGCAGGTTTCACCTAATCTATATTTGTACATTTAGTTTTTCTTGCTTAAGTGTAAAACTTTTCTGTTCATTGAATTTCATTTTATTAAATAGGCCCCAGTGTTCAAGTCTTCTGGGGTGTTGGTTATTCCAGCCAGTTTAGTGTTGTCTACAAATTTGATGAGTTTCCCTTTTGTTCCCTCATCTAAATCGTTTATGAAGATGTTGAAGATTCTTGGGCCTAAAACGGAACCTTGGGTACCCCTCTGCTTACTTCCCTCCATATAGATGTAGTTCTATTAAGCACTATATGTTGAGTGTGGTTTGTCAATCAGTTAATTTGTCAAATGAAGAGTAGCTGCACTAGGGGGGAGAAGGAAAATGAAAGGGAGGAAGAAAACTGTGTTAATATAACTATATGGAAGAAAATGCTCTAGTAGAATTGTCTGTGGTGTTCAGTGTATAATTAATAACTAAAATAATTAAATTGTCACTTTTATCTTAGAAATGTAGTAAGAATATTATATTTTGACAAATATTGCTTTGTCTTTATTTTTGTTTTCAGGCTTTTCTTGCACAGTGTGATACAGTGGAAGGAAATATTGGTCAAGAAATGGATAAATTACACTCAAAGAATATGGTCCTTGCAGAATGAAGCTCTTTTAAGTAACTAGGATAATGAATTGCTCTGTGAGCAGAAAGAACAGTTTGCTCTTGCTTTTGGAACAGTTATTCAAGTGTTCAGAATTTTAGTTTTAGCAGAGTTTTGTGAGAGTGTTGCATGTTAGCTATTGTTTATTCATCAATATGTATTCTGGTTATATTTAAAGATAGTCTTCAGACACACAACCCATCTCTATTTGTTTATTATTTTTCCCTTGCTACATTGTAATATATCGTTGTCTGAACATACATATTTCAGCTGTTGTGGTTTCAATATTTCTATCAATAACTTTTATGGATGTTGTACAATCAAATAAAATATCTTTTATCATTGTCATTGAAAATAAACTCAATAAACAATGTAATACATTGCAATAAATATCCTACCACATTATATGTGTATGAATATATGACATATATATGATTATATCTGTATGAATATATATCACATATATATGATTATATGTGTATGACAATATATTTGTGTATGAATATATATGAAAATATATGTGTGTATGAATACATATTTGTACGACAGTGAATTGGAGTGCTCACAGCAGCTGTTGAGAGTAGTGTGGCAGATCAGCAGTGGCTGAGGGCAGTATGGTGGACAACTGCACAGCAGCTAAGTGGAGCAGAACGCCCAGATCAGTGCAACATACCTGAAAACCCTGACAGTGGCCAGGCAAATGAAGGGCAAGAAGGCAGGTGTCAGATGTCCAGCTAGCAAATCCAAGAAAGAAACTCCTGGAACATTCTTCTTCCCAAAAATATTCAATACTTTTATTCAATACTTTTATTGAATACACTGCAATGGCACAAAAGAAGCAAAACCAGTTCTGAATTTCCCGCTCAGAAGTCTACATAATTAAACTTGCATTCCCCCCTTTGCCCATTCTTTTCAGTCCATTGCATTGTCCAATCAACTACGCTCCTTTCGTTATGAGAATTGGCTGGATTGTTCAAATACCTGTGCAGCATGATTTTGAAGGGGGAAGTAGGGCCTCATAATCTGTAGATGGATTCCTAGCATTCCATTACCACCCCAAGCAATTCAACTATCCCCCTCCTGATAGTTGTCAAGTTGAGAGCGGAGAAGAAACTAGGTAAAAAACGAATCACTCTTGGCATGCTGACCCCCCTGGAAGAATGATACATTTGGAATGAACACAAACACATTACCATACACAATCTACCATCTACAAAACACTGTTTCATTTTGGTCATTTAGGGTACCTGGCATGAAACTTCTTTATTAATTTAGCTGCTTTAATGTCCTTTGCCACCACCCATTCAGCATCTGCTACAGGATAGCCCTTCCACCACATAAGGTACTGCAATTTTTCCTGTGGTGCCTAGAGTCCAAGACTTCCTTAATCTCATAGTGTTCCTCCCCTTTCATAAGGATTGGAGGTGGAGAGATGCCTCCACTGGCCTTAGCTTAGAATCTCAAATGGACTTTAGTAGACTGCAATGAAACACTGGGTGGACTTGCCTAGACTTCTCAGCATCTTCACTGTCACTGGATTTATAATCCACACAATGCAGAAAGGACCTATATATTTAGGACCCAGCTTTTTACAGAGCTGTCTTAGGTTTAAATACTTTGTGGACAAGTACACTTTATCACCCACTCTGAACTCCCTTTGAGGGATCTCTTCTAATTGGCTTTTTCCAGTCCTCTCTTGCTTTCCCTAGTGGCTTGTTCATCATAACCCATGTACCTCTCAGAGAGTCCACCCATTTCCTTTAGTGTTGCGGAGGATGGGATCCCAGGGAAAAGCTTCAGCATGGCTATGAACTCAACCCTCCATACTGACCTTAAAAGGGGTAAGTCCTGTGTTGCTATGCACTGAGTTATTGTAAGCCACTTCAGTGAACAGCAGCAGCTCAGCCCAGTTAGTCTGCTGATACATAACACTTAGGGGTTTTTTTTTTGTAAAAATTTTTATTTTCAACTTTACAATACATAACAATCTTACAAATACTTCAGATAAAAAATAAAACAAATTGATACACACCACATTTGGTCTTGCCCGCCCGTTTCCCCCCAAACCGCATCCCATCTCAAACCAACTTACTTTTTTCCCTCTTTTTCTTCACTCACCCCCTCTCCTCCTTCACCTCAACCTTCCTACTTACTTCTCATCTTCTTCTCGTCCCTCTTGATGTGATCCAGGGGAAATGCCCGAGCAGTTCCTCTCTCAAAATTAAAACATTAATATTATATACAATAAGACTATTTCTACTTTATCTGAACTACTTAAACTTCAACCCATCCACCCCCCACCCCCCTCCCCCCCAACTTCCCAGAGCAAAATACAGGATTATGCAAACATATTAAACATAATCTATTTAAGTTTACTAATTATACAATGAACAAAATCATAAAAACCCTTAACTCTCTTCAAACTTTAACATCATAAGTTTATAAACAAAATCATTACTCATAGAATAAGTGAAACTTTGTAGTTCCATATTTCTTCTGGACATATTCTATCCATCTTCTCCATACGTTAAAATATCTCTCTTGTGAATGGTCCTTTAAATAAGCAGAAATTTTAGCCATTTCTGCTAAATTAGAAACCTTAAATACCCATTCTTCTAAAAAAGGCAGAGTATCCTTCTTCCAATATTGACCCACCAGTAATCTTGCTGCTGTTATTAAATTCAACATTAAAATAGTTTCTTTAACATTAAAGTCCACGAAAATTCCCAAAAGAAACAGTTGGGGAGTAAACTTAATCTTCCTTTTAAAAACCTTTTAAATGTTCCACCAAATCATAATCCAGAAGGCTTTAATAACTTTACAAGTCCACCAAACATGAAAATAGGTTGCATCCAAGCAACCACATCTCCAGCATTTAGGTTGCAGGTTCGGGTACATACAGGACAGATTTTTAGGATCCAGATGCCATCTATAAAACATTTTGTAAAAATTTTCCCTCAAATTCTGGGCCTGCGTAAATTTAACATTTCTAGTCCAAATTACCTCCCATAAGTCCAACGAGATTGGTTCTTGAATATTCTGGGCCCATTTAATCATACAATCTTTAACTAACTCTGTTTCTGAATCCAATTTTATTAACTCATTATAAATTCTTTTAATATGGGCACATTTCTGATTCTTGATCTGAACTACCAAATTTTCATCTAATAAAGTAATTCCCACTTTCTTATCCAAAGTCCATCTCTGCACAATTTGCAAATATTGAAACCACGATTGTAAAATGTTTTCTTGCCTTAACACATCAGAAGACTTTAATTGCCAATCAGTACCCAACCAAGTAAGTAACTCTTTATACGAAATGTTGTCAAAATTCACCCCCTTAGAAACCCCCTGGATTGCTTGTCCAGGGATCCCCCAAATAGGTATTTTATAATTTAACTTATAATAATATTTTTTCCAAACTCGAAGTAAAGCATATCTTAAAATATGTGACTTAAAGACCAAATCTACTTTCTTATCAAAAATTAAATATGCATGCCAACCATATAATAAATCCCACCCTTCAAGAACAAGAATATCTCTATTTGTTAAATTAAGCCAGTCACTTACTAAAGTTAAAGTGGCCGCATCATAATATAATTTCAAATTTGGTGCTTTAAGTCCACCTCTTTCTCGAGCATCTTGTAAAATCTTAAACTTTACCCTTGATTTCTTCCCGCCCCAAATAAATTTATTAATACCCTTCTGCCACTCATCCAAATTAGCATCCTTCTTTAAAATGGGTATCATCTGAAACAAAAAAAGAAACTTTGGTAGAACATTCATCTTCACTACTGAAATTCTCCCCAATAACGATAGTTGTAGCTTTTGCCAATCATTTAAATCTTTTTGAACTTTAACCCATAAGTGCTCATAATTACATAATAATACTTTAGTTATTGTTCTACCATTGAGTTCACTTGCTCTGCTGATCTGTTAGTACTGGGATGGAAATTGGAGCCAAGCTCCTAGGATGAGCCTACCAGGCTCACAAACTCCTGTCAGAACTTTGCAGTAAATTGCACCCCCTAGTCCGAGATAATCATCTTTGGGACCCTGTCCAGTCTGTAAACATACTGCACAAACATTTTTGCTAGGAGCTGGCCTGAGAAAAGCTTTGGGCATGGTATGAAATGTGCCTGCTTGGAGAATAGGTCAACAATGGTCCATATTACAGAATTCCCACCACTTTCTGGCAGCTCAGCTATAAAGTCCATGGCTATCTAACTAACCAGTTAACAAATGTATGTAAGAAGCATACCACAGTAGTAATGGGAGATTTCAACTATCCAGATATCAACTGGGAGATCAAATAGATTCCTAACCAACTTAGCCAACATTTTTGTCACCAAAAAGGTGGAGGAGGGAACTAGATGTAAAGCTATACTGGACTTAAGTCTTACTAATAGAGAAAAAGTGATAGAGGGAGTTGAAGTTGCTGAACATTGGGTGAAAGTGACCATATCATACTGGAATTTAATATAATGAAAACACTAGCAATAGAAAACAACTCAACCAGTGTCTTAAACTTCAAAAGAGCTGACTCAGAACCTAGGAAAGATCCCATGGATGAAAATCCTAAAGGGGAAAACAACCCAAGAAGCGTGGGAAAAATGTGATCACAAAAGCCCAGACCAGCACAATACCACTGAAAAAGAAAAACAAGAAATTCAAGAAGAAACCAACATAGCTGCACAAAGATCTCTCTGACAAACTGAAAGACAAAAAGGACAAATACAAAAATGGAAAGAGGGGCACATACAGTGGGGCAAAAAAGTATTTAGTCAGCCACCAATTGTGCAAGTTCTCCCACTTAAAAAGATGAGAGAGGCCTGTAATTGTCATCATAGGTAGACCTCAACTATGAGAGACATCCTTGTACCTTTCTGTATGTTGAATTTATCAGTGGCCTCTCCATTTATTATGATCTGGGCCTTTTGTTCAGAATATATTGCGGTTATCATGTTTAATTTTTTTTCCCCAACATCCATTAATTTTAGTTGTGGGATCATAAATTGCCAATTGACATTGTCAAAAGCCTTCTGTGCATCAAGGAACAGAAGTGCCACTTGACGATCACTATGCGATTCATAAAATTCGAGAATGTCTAAGATTGTTCTTATATTCCGCTTAGTCTGTCTGTTTGGTAAAAACCCATTTTGATCCGAATGTATGAAGTCAATTAGGTATTTTTTAAATCTCTCCGCCATTATTGAGGCAAAAATTTTATAGTCAGAATTCAATAATGATATAGGTCTATAATTTTGTATCCGTGTTTTTTCCGCTTCTTCTTTTGGAATCAATATTATATTTGCCTCTGACCAGGACTTAGGTATTTTAGCATTGGTTAATACAGTGTTGAAAACTTCTAATAGGTATTGATTGAATGC